GAATAAGCCCCAAATTATTCTAAGTAGGGATTTACTACGATAAAATTGCTGTCACGTCAGGCAGCCCAGCCAAGTAGGATTCGACATTCAGGATTTTCATGACATTTCCCATAAATGCAATCTTTGCTATACTRGTCCCCAGTATAAGTAGTAGCACAATTAAAAATCGCTATGGCTACCTGAGATTGAAATATCGGGATAATTAAAATACCAGGATCCTTGAAGGAAGGAAATAATAGTGAGAGATGTGAAAATTCAGCAGTTCTTCATAAGTGTTGCTACTTTTTATCTTTTTCAAAAAATCTTTTTTATTATTTAGGAAGTCAACTGGTATCTCTTATATCCTATATCAGTTTTTTAAAGCGTTGCATGGCTGGAACATGCATCTAAATCCTATTTCATCCCCTAATCCAGGCATAGATTCTCAGATAGATGTTGGTCCACGTTGTTTTTTCAAGACTTCTAGTAGTGGAGACATCACAGTACACAGRGTTAGATTTGTCCTGCTAAGAAAATTTCATGTTAGCAAAACCTAACCTAACCTTCTATTTCCCATCCTCTTGATCATAAGCATTGGGAAAATTATCCTCCTTTTCTGTACATCCACCTTCTCCCTAATGGAAACCCCTTATCCTTAGCTCTCTCTGAGATGCCATCTGCAGTGAACCGGTCTTTAATCAAGTGAACTGAAAGCAGTAGAGCCTCCYAGGTACCAGTTCTTATGCCAGAACTAACTTCAGACCTGATTATATGTTGCCGTATTTATGTATGTATTTATTTTAATCCCACTTTAACGCATTACACTACAAGTCATTGCTCACTCTCTTGTCTGTTTGATCCCAATCCAAATATTTATGCTCAAACTTCAAATTGTTAGCTCCTTAAAGCAAGACTGTCATTCTTAATGTCTGTAAACTCCAGAGTGACTCTCTTTTACTAATCTCCTTGGCTTTTCTCCCTTAGAGCTCGACCTGTGGTGGAAAGATAGAGGGATGTCCTCAGTTCTTGCCTCTTTAAGTTGTGCATTGCATGGGGGTCCTACCGGTGCAGCTCTGCAATGAGCATCTGGAGCAGCAGAAGTGGAATTAGATTATGTTAATCTTATTTTAATGGTTTCTCAACAAAAAAAAGTAACTAATTGCCATGATTTTGTGAGACTACAAAAGCAAGGAGGTTGATTGCATGGTTGCCTTGTAACACAGGCTGGAGGTATGGCCAGTACGTGCTTCATTAATCTTGTTTTCACTAATTTAAAGTGAGTTTAAAACTGTATCCTTCAAACTGTAAGGGATAAGAAGCACTTGCTGCCCAAGGAGGAAGGAAACTCACTGAATTTAGCCAAGCTCTTTCTGCTGCTCATGATCTGTGAGTCTTTGTTACACCTTGTTTTTCCCCCCGGAGTAGCACTCTGGGAAAGACTCCTCCCACAGTTTCATTTTGGGCCTTAAATCTTCAACCTAAGTTTTTAAATCTCTAAAGACATCTGGGTTTCAAATTCGTGTGATTTTATGAGCTGCCTAAATACCCTTCGGCTTCTTGTTCCTACTGTTACCAAACTCCTCACATTGCAACGTGAATCATTTTTATATATAATTGACCAATATACCTTGCTTCTTCCTTCGCTAAGTAACTGGGGCTTAAAGATGCAATCCTGGTCCTGCAGGAATCAAGGGAACTGGGATTTCATTCTGTAGGTTTATTGTAGTAACTTAATGATTAAATCAGCATTGTTTTTCTTTTAAAGTGAGGAAAACAGGCAGGGAAAAAAAACCTGCAAGGCACTTGGKGTGTTTATGTCATTCAGATTATTTTCCATACATTGAACCAGTTGCATAAGCAGATGATATTTACAGATGACTCCTGACCACAACTGACCTTCACCTTTTCCCATGCACTTCCCAGCCTCTCCTTGAATTTTSCTGTTGTTTCCTCTTAATCACTCCACATTTCACACCGTGTGTTCGAGCTGGTCTCTTTATTTGCGTGGGACCCTTCCACCAACTCCCTAGGGATCAATATTCACAATTCCCTTCAACTTCATCCCCTCCACCTGATTTCCTTGGCACCTGCAGAATCTCACAGTTTTGAAAAAGAAATCCAATGCTCAGGTCTCCAAACTTCTCCCTTTGGGGGATCATCACTCCTTTGGGGAAGGAAGTGGGGACATTTCTTCAGGAATATTTATGCTACCCATTCAATATGAACACCTTTTATATTTTTGCTCCATGTGTGCACGCCCGTGCTGTGGGGCAGCTAATGCAGGAATTGCATAGAGCTGCCTCCCTCCTGTCGAGAGGTCAGAGAAAAACCATGTTTAGAGTTCAACAGTGCTCCCATGGCTACCTGGACAGGTACATCACGGGAGAGGGAACACTGCTGGTATTCAACGGCCCTTCCAGGTGATTTATGGTTTTGCATAAGCTTTTCCTAAACCCAGAGGTTTTCTACGGTTGGCACCTCCTTGCTTGTCTCCATGCCCTGCTAGTTCTGTGCTCAGTGGTCCGTGGTTATTAAAATTCTTATCAATACAGGAGTTTCTGAGCGGGGCTCTTGTTTTCTGGGATCACAAATACCTTCTGAACTCCTCAGCTTAACCAAAAGAACATTTTTTTTTCCCTAATGTATTTTATAAGAGAAACGTGTAGAGTTCAAGCAATATTTGCCTTCAGTTACAGTAATTAAGTTGTCAGGGCTGGAACTCACCAAGGGAATGAGAAAATCCTTTCCTGGTTGGCCGGAGGGTGACGGGTCTTCTGGTCGCAAGCGCGTTTTACGTCTCGGGGTGGGGAGCCWGGCCCTCCTGGCTGCCCTCCGTGGCAGGAAACCCGGGAGACCGTTTGTCATTTTGCAAACACGAGTTGTCACAATGCTCCCGTGGGTAGGAGAAGATGGAAAAGCGAGCGACCCGTTCCAGTTTGCTGTAGCAGGGCAGCTATTTTTGATCCACKCTAACACCGCTTGCTTGGGCTTGGGTTGGGACATGCATCTTGTTTGAGACGCAGCAACCGTAAACTGAAAAAAATTCTGTGGATTTGGGCTTGTCAAATGTCTGCTGCAGCTCYGCTCTCAAACATAGTCTATATATACGTTTGTGTATACATAGATACATATATTTTGCCAACATTAAACATGGCTTTGCAGACTTCTTTGGCAGAAGTCAAAGAGTTCCAGTCATTGCATACACTTACCTGCAGACAAGGTAGTCCTAGAAGAAAAGTAGCTAATTTTTGCAAGACAAACATCGCTGGAATCTCAAGTGTAGCATTACTTTCATTCCACTGGGGTAGCTCTCTTGAAAGCCGTTGGATGTGGAAATCTCTGCTCTTAATGCATCACTAATGACACGGATTTTCTCATTCCTGCTCGTGTGAGTGAAGGTTACAGATCTGCGAGGAGTCAGACCTGCAAAACCTTCTTTACAAACTCCAATAAAACCCACTTCAGCTGGCAAGTTTAATGATGCCCTAAAGAGAGCGGGCTCGCTTATCTACAGCATCATGCAATAACTGTAAAGTGTTGAGATAAGTGGTTTTATATCTCCCTTCACCCTGCATATGAGTTTATACCAGTGAACGTGGCTCTGGTTTGGTTGTATTTTATCGTCAGTTCAGCCCCCATACAAGATGAATGGCTATAGTGGAAGCTCTTACCTATATATGCATTTATAAATGGAAAAACAAGCATAGTATCTCCATTATGCTCATCACGGTGGACTGTAGTGTTAGTGGATTTCCTGCTCTTCAAGACTTGGGTCCTGTAGGCCAAAACACTGGTAAGGATCCTACACAACTTGAAAAAAAGCAGTGTAAAAATTGGGAGATATCCAGATATCCAGAGACCCTACTTAGGACTTTTGCCAAAGCAAAAGCACTTGCTACAAGGGGCTTTTTCCTTCTTTTATTTTTTTTCTCCCTCCTTTTTTTTTTTTTTTTTTTTTTTTTTTTTTTTTGAGTGTTTCAATATCCACATAAACCAGTCTGAATTTCAGCTGCCTTTTTGGTTTGTTTGTTTTGCAAGTCACAGGCAATTTAACAAGTTAGGTATTTTCATCTCGTCGCAGTTGCTGCTTTCTCAGAGTCAATTCTCTTCATGCCGTACTTGCATTATTCAGCTGAATGGCTATAGTTTGCTTTTTGTTTTATGTTTGCTCTGTAGATACTAGATTCTTTTTATAGATCTTCACCTGCAGCTGCAGTTCAGCGGCTACTTATTTTGTGCATGCAGAAACCTTGTAAGATCTAAACAGGTTTGGGCCATCTGATAACATTTGAAGCTTCTCTGTGATCAAATGGAGTATATTTAAATACCAGCATCTAGGACACAATGACAAATATTGAAACAAATATTTCTAAAGATGAGATAAGATGGAGGAGATACATTAAGGCTGGGGTGTTCTCTATAACTTAGGTTCTTGCACTTTGCTGTAGAGATATTTCAGGCATGGGATTTCCTTTATGCCAGGCTRGTATTTTCCTTTAGTAGGCTAGTATATCATGTTGCATTATTTTCCAGGTTACTTTATATCTTGTAGAGACATGTGCGCTTACAAAGTGCATATAATACACTGAGTTTGATATTATTATACATAATCTGTGTGGCTTGCACAAGCATAGGTAAACACTAAGAAATTCAGAACAACAGAGAATCAAATCCCCTCCCCTGTCCTGAAATACTGCACTGCATTCTCTGTTTGCCTTCCATCTTCCCCCTTTTACTTCATCCTAAACCTGCATTATCTATTGCATTAAGACATCTCAAGTTCTGCCCCAGTGTGTACTTGCTTTAATTTTCAAAATAGCCTTTGTTTTTTTATATATATTTTTATATATATATTTATATATATATATTTATATATATATATTTATATATATATATATTTTTATATATAAATATAAAAATATAAAATATATTTTTCTCCTGAATATGCAAAGAAAACCTTATATTTAGAGCGTCTTTTGGCAACTCTCACTCCTGATCCTCTTTGCTTTGTTCCCTTGCAGGAGGATGTTGCTGATACGGAGTTGCAGGAAGAGAAGCAGAGGGACCCCTGGCTCTCCGAGCCTGCAGAAGGTGCCAACACGGTGAAGAGTGTGCTCACTGTGCAGGAATATTTTGCCAAGCGCATGGCAAAATGGAAGGCATCCCAAAATGAAACTGAAACGGAGCTGGAGAATTCTTGTCCGGCAGCAGCTGAAGCCTTAGAGCCTTCAGAAGAACTGAAAACCAAAGCCAAAAAGAAAAAGAAGAAGCAGAAGAGGGAGGAGGCAGAGAATACAGAAAATAATGAGAAACCAGAAGTGAAACGACGTAAGTTTGGGGAGGAGCTGGATGCTCCCTACGAGGAATGTCGAGGAAAAAAGAAAAGAAAACACAAAAATGAGTACGGAGGGGAAGGCATTGGCTGTTATGAAAATACAGGGGGTGAAGAAATTTGTWTGGGGGTATCTGATGAGGAGGAGTGCCCCGTGGAGCAGTCTGAGGCAAAGCCAAAGAAGCGCCATAAGAAGAAACATAAAAGGCAAAAAGAGGAGGAAAAAGAGTGTAATGTAGRAACCCAGAGAAAGAAAAAGAAACGCAGCAAGGAGGTTTAACCATGTAGCAGCCAGGCTGCGACTTGGAGATGATTTGGACTTTATCGTGGTGGACAATGTAAACACATCAGGCTGTAACTCACTGTTGAATGTGCTCCTTGGTGTCGTGCTGAAATCACAGATTGTGTTTAAATATAGCTCTTCCCAAGGGGTGAGAACTACTACTGCCTTTACTCTTCAAGCCACCAGTTTCCACTTCTCATAGCCAGCCYTGGTTGTGGAACGGGAGTTTTGCGACGTCGTATGGATTTTTTTTATTATTCATTTCCTTTTATATGTAAAATAAACCTCATTTCTTCCCAAAATGCTTTCTGTAATTGAAGGATTATGCCTGAGTGTMTGTACTAAGGAATGGAAGAAAATAACTTCCCTTCGTCCCTASCCAGGAACATTTTGAGCTGGTGTAAGTTTGCAACAGAGCTGTAGGAACTGTGTCTTTATTAACCATGTCTTCTACATCTTTGGAGACCAGACAATATTGGTGGCACCCTCATCTACCCTTCAAAATACTGCAGTTTTATATCACGGTTTATGGAGTTAGGATGCATTTCAGCATTTCTGTCTCACCCAGCTAGATGTGTTTCATTACTATAAATCTAAACCATCCCATCGTTCTGTTTTGCTGAATAAAATGGGTATATTTTTTAATTTGTGTTACTTTATTGCTTAACACAGCWTGAAAATCACTATCTAGATGTGGATTTTACATGAACAAATCTCTTCAAGCTGCCTGTATTGCCCACTGAGAGAAACAGAGTGGACAGCACACAACCCACATGGGTGAGTTCAGGTGTTTTAGGTGTGTTCTGGACTGAACTTCTCACTCTTTTAAGACATTTTGGTGTCAAGTGCATCTTTTTATTGCCTTGACAGCACACACCTTCATCGCAGCAAAATTATTATGGTTTTACATTATGGTAAGAGAACCCAAGATGAATTTAGAAACACCACTGACCAGTTGGTGTTTCTAAACCCTGGTAGAGTTTATTTTTGAATACTATACAAATATTGGCTGAGCTTAAACAACAAGCTTCCTTAAGCAATATTTCACTTAACACCGTGGCTGCTATAGGGTTCTGCATACACTGTGTGCTTGAGGTGAAAAAAAGATCTGGGTGCAAGAAGGCAGCAGAATAATTCATGTTTCATCAAAACATCTTAAATATCRTGAGTCTCCTTCAAAGAAACCTTTGCAGTTTCGTGGTCACCACAAATTAGGATTTTTGCTCGTAAGAGCTCCAAAGTTCACCATTTCCYATGTTTTTTTACCTCCTAGGCAGCTCAACTTCACAGTCTCTGTGGGATTTGGAGTTAAAAAGGCACTAGGAAAAGGCTAGGTTTTCCTCCAAACAAAACCAGGCTTGTTTGTTTGTTCGCTGGATTAATCTTGGGTGAGTTTCTAAGTGCTAATTCTTATGGAAAGCGTTGGCCAGATTCCAGATTCAGTCACAGAAAGTATAAAAACAGGAATAAATCTTTAAATTTATGGAGTTTCTGCAGTCAGGCAGCGTGCACCTACGATTTAAACCTGCTTGAGATCTAAATTTCAGCTACAAATTTCTCGACTTGTGCAGGAAGAAGTGTGAATTTCGCTTAAACCCACAAAAYGTGTGATTTTATTTGTTTTAATGTGCCTGCAGTATCTAGCTCAAAGAGAAATGAAGTATACAGAGTACCAAGTTGCATGGGAAAAAATGTATAACAGACTAAATTTGGGGGGAAAATGATTTTTTTAGCTGCTCTTTATATACTAGTGATCAGATTTTGCATTACTTGACAAGAAGTTCTTGGTAGCAGATAGGATGTAGGGAAGGGAGTGATTTCAAAGYAATAAATTGTGTTTTGTTTATGGTTGAATGAGAGTCCAGTTGTAAGTAAACTCTGGTTTGGCCAGACGTTGAAGCACAAAGTGATTGTACCTCTAAATGAAAGTACTTAGAAAATGGAGCAAAACGATAGTCACCAAAGCCTTTGCTTCCAAACTCCAAGTGATGCCCTGGTAGCATAGAGACTTTAACACGTTYTAGTAATCCTGAACCCTTGCTGACGTAGAAGCAAATGTGCTTTTATGCTTGCAATCCCGTGCAGATGATGGTCACCCATGAGCTGCTTCCCTTGCTTGTAGGTGTCGTGTTGTTCTTAGACACGGAGTTTGGTTTTACCCATGTAAGAGCTGATTTTGGAGGCAAGGATGGGAGGTTGCATTGGGGGCAAGACCTGGATCACCAAGCCCCAACCCTTATGTTTCCTTCCAAGAGTCACCCACTCTCTTGCCTTACACCCATGGGTCATTTCAAGGTGTAGGCAAGTGGTAATCTCAAGTGCCAAGACAACCCACCAAGATTGGTGCCCAGAACCTCCTAGCTTTACTTCCACCGGACTTCCATTAGATCCTATCCAAAATGCAGCCACTTTGGACACCTCAGAGCCGTGCTTCCCATCCCATTTGTGGTTGCACKCGATGATCTCGAAGGTCTTTTCCAACCACAATGGTTCCATGATCCCATTCAGCATCTTTTCCAATTAACATGATCTCCCTTTAGACAAGGAGGGAGATGTGGCAGCTTCCAAAGCCAAAGCTCCCAGCCCCCAAAACTACCCGCCTGCACCAACGTAAATAGCCAATTTTCTCTTGTTTAAACACCCGAAATGGAAGTTCCCCAAGCAGGCACCTTCAAAAGGCCCAATTTACGTCACCAACCCTCCAAACCTGCCAGCGCAAGGAGGAGGAAGGAAGCTGCGAGGAGAGAGGAAAACCAGGCAAAGTCCTCTGAAATCGCAGCGGAGCATCACGCCTGTTTTGAAAGAAATAATTAAAAGAAAAGGGTCTTAAAACAGCATGAAAGGTTTGTTATGACACGGAATATAAATCTTGCTCRTGAAGCGCTGGTGGCCCAGGAGGCCCAAGGGAGGACTGGGGCTCTCCAAGCACCTGGGCAATAGCCAAGGTTGTCACTGAGCCCACGTGGGGACATTAGAAGCTTTGAGGGATGCAAGACAGGGGAATACGGTAGAAAATTGCGAATCCCTGAAGAAGATAGTCCCCGTGCCAAATTTTGGGGCAAGTCAGCGTGGAAAACGGTACTCCCCGAGCCCAGCGAGAGCCCCGCGTGTCCCTGCAGACCCACATGAGGGAAGCGTGGAGAGGGAAGGGGAGCTTCCCGCRCTAATTACCCCGATACGGCCGCAATTAAGAGGCGGTGTCACGCGGAGCTGGCGCCGGGACAGGTTTAACCAGCAGCGTGAGGCAGGTGCAGGATGAAACCCACGTTACTCACGCAGCGGGAATGCCAGGTGCTAAAGGAGGGGGAAAAGCAGAGGGAGGGGGAAAAAAAAAAAAAAGTGTTTATTTTTGTTTGCATTAGAAATGCACCTTGGAAAGGCACTTGCACTGCAATGGGGCTCCACGGGAATGCARTTTCTTTTCCCCTCACCAAACATGATAACTATTTCCAGCCTCACGGGCCTAATATGTAGAGGTGGTATTTTTATAATACTTAAATATTTTTGTAAGAGTAATATAAGTAACACGAGTAAGAAGTAATATAGTGCCCGCAGGCTGCCTGCAAATGATGCCGAGTTGGGGGGATCCCAAATGCAGCAACTTCAGACAGTTGCAGRGAAATTATGGAGGGGGAAAAAATAAGGAATCTTGTGGATTTTCATYCCTGGGCTTTCTGGGAGGGAGAACAGGATGGGAGGCATGAAATCCCTCGCTGGCACCTTCCCTTTTGCAGGAGGCACCCGGGAGATGTGCCGGGCAGCGCGTACGTGTGCGCCGCGCGCTTGTAAATCTGTGCCGGGCTCCGGAAACATCCCGCGCCTTGGAGATTTAAGAAGTTGCCTTCCTGTTGCCTTCCCAGATAAGGGCGCTCGGATGGAGCCCACTTGCAAAGCGCTCCCGTAGATTTAATCAGTTCCTTCGGAAAAAGTTGTTGTTTCCGCCCGCTTTTTAATTCGATCCCAGAGGGACAAACTAGAGGGGCTGGGGAAAGGGAAAATCAAGGCTAGTGTGGAGGTTTGAGGGTGTTTGTCTCTCTTTGAGCCCTCCCCAACAAAAGAAGCAGGAGAGATTGGGAAAGCTGAGTGCATCCGGATCCCATCRGAGCTGGCATTTGCATCCCACAGTCACCATTGCCTGGAATGCAACCGGAGTCAACAGTGGCACCCGGGTCCGTGGACCCTACTGCCACCCACCCTGCACAAACACCCTGACCTCCTCCCAAAAAAAACAGTTTGGGGCTTTTGTAACCTCCTCCTTCTCCAAGCCATTCCCTGGTTTTCCTGGGACAGGAAATCCATACTCGCTTGGAGATGCCCTATGGCCCCGTGTCCCCAGGTCGGGGCCATAAAGGCATGAGTGACCCTAAAGCCACGTCATGGAGGGGATCACTGGTGGATTCCTSCTCTCCAGGGATGCTTCATCCTAGCTCCAATTGGGATTTTCATGGGCTTCACTGCATGAAAGCAGGGGGTCCCGGCAAATGGCCTTCACCAAGGGTGGCGTTTGCTTCCCGGGTGGTGTTGGAATCCCCATTTGGCAGGGGTGGCTTTGGAAAAAGCGGAGAGGGAGTTTCCATCCAATGCCTGCAACTGGGAACAACATCTGGGAACATCAGGATCCCTCTACTCCATCCCCCATCCCGTCCCTGCAAAGGGACCAGGCTGGAAAACCACCTGCAGCGGGTCCCGGATAAGGCAGCCTGGGAATGTGGGGTGGATGGATGGAAAACACCCTCCCCAGGGGGCAAAGATGTTGGAGAAAGGGCTGTGAGCACCGTGCACCTGCAGGGACCCTCCTTGGGAGCCCTTTCCCTTCAGACTTGGAGAAACCTGAATGCTCCACAACCTCCTCCCTTCAGAAAAATAAATGCATATATACATTTGTATGCAAATGCATATATACATATGTATATAGATGTGTATATACATATATACACATATATGTGTGTRTATATCTATATATATGGATATATGAATATATGGATATGGATATATACCCCATGCTCTTATCTCCTTCCACCTGCTTGGAAGTTTCAGGACCTTTGGCAAGCAGAGAGTGAGGGGGGCAGGCTGGGCTGTGCTGGGGGGGCATCTGGGTCAACTTAGCTCTCTTCCCACAGAAAGAAAAAGAAAAAGAAAAAGAAAAAGAAAAAGAAAAAGAAAAAGAAAAAGAAAAAGAAAAAGAAAAAGAAAAAGAAAAAGAAAAAGAAAAAGA